TCCACCTTTCCTGGGCACCTTTGTTTTTAAGGGCTACTTCCCAAGGAACCCTCTGAATAAGTTTCCTAAATAGGCCAATGTCTGCTTTCCAGAAGTTCAATGTAAAAGTCTTATTTTTGTTCCTTCCGATTTCACTAAGTATTGAGAATTCTATAATTTCATGATCACTGTGCCCCAAGCGGCCTCCAACCACCACATTGCCCACCAGCCCATCTCTATTTGCAAACAACAAATCTAACGTAGCTCGTCCTCTATTGGGCTCACCCACCAGCTGCAACAGAAAATTGTCCTCCGTGCACTCTAAACTGTTCCTGGACTGCCTCTTTTCTGCTGTATTAAGTTCCCAGCAGATGTCTGGCAGGTTGAAGTTGCCTATAAGAACAAGGGCTGGTGATCCTGAGACATTCTCCAGCTACTTGCAGAATGAATTGTCCACCTCTTCTTCCTGGTTGGGTGGATGATAACAGACTCCCAGGAGGATAATGTCAGCCGTGTGGGCCTTCTTCTTAATTCTTACCCATAGACATTCAAATTCGTTGTCACTAGTTTCAATACCTGTGGTGTCAAAAGCCTCCCTAACATAAAGGGCCACCCCTCCACCTCTTCTCCCTTTCCTGACTCTTCTGAAGAGCTTGTAGACATTCAGTGCAGTGCTCCAGTTATGTGAGTCATCCCACCATGTTTCCGTGATGGCAACTACATCATAGCTTTGCTGTTGCACCATGGCTCCAGCTCCTCCTGATTTTTTCCTATGCTGGGTGCATTGGTATCCCTGCACCTCAGCTGGGCTACTTATTTCACCCCTAAACAATGGGGCTCACCTTATTGTCACCCTGACAAGAAGGACACCGTTTTTTGCCAGATCTTGCTGTGTTTTGCAAGATCTCATGTGGCTCTTCACATGAAATCAGTTGACAAGAGACAATTAGAGGCTCTTGAACGTGTTTGTGGAGAACATGGGCTGGACTGTTGACCCTGGCTATTGATGTATTGCTTCTGGTGTAAACAAGAGTTGGAGAGTCACTCGGGCGCGTGAAATAGAGGAGGTGTATAAGTGTCAGCCATGTATCACACGGGTTATTTCCTAGTCTAGAGCACAGTGGTTGGTTGATTTTGTTGGTACACCATTTGGTCAGTTTCCTGGAGTGAATGTTCCAAGGGGTGCAGAGTGCTGTGTGAACAGCAACAGTTTTTGAATGCATTGGAACTGATTGAAGATTTTGGGCAGAGAGTATTAGCAGATATTAGCTTTGAGCTTCTTAAATGCTTAGCATTATTACGTATTAGACAAGGCAATAAGGTAGTGAACACCAAGTGTGGACTGGGAGTTGGAGTTCCCCAAAGTTGGCAAGTTCAGAGTAGCGAATGGGACAAGGCAGAAAGACAATGGTGACATGCATGGCCATGGCGATGTTAATGTTGATTTTTGGGGGTTTGTCAATGTATGGAGAGGGGGCGTTTCTTGACAAATCACAAACGAATGTTTGGGTAACCTGGCTAATGCATCTGGTATTCAGGATTTTGGTCTCAGTTTACAGCAGGCCAGTGACCCTTTTTGAACTTGCTTAATTGGCATTCCCCTTCAGGAGAATGAAACAGACTTTTCTGGTTGGTGGGACCCTAAGACAGTAAATTTAACTAGTGGCACAAATAGTGACTGTCTAAGTCCAAAAAGACAGTACACTTGCCTGTCTATGCCTAATGCACCCTGGCAGAAAACAGTAATTGAAAATTTGAACTGATCGTATCCTATCGCATTTCAAGAATTGGATTTGTTAGCCAGTGTTTTCCCAACCTTGGATGTTAATGTTGCTGTTCTGCCTAGCTGTGACAGCATGACCCCACCGTGGACACCAGTTAATGGTACAGGAGTAGTTTGGTTTGGAGATCCCTGGTTTAGCTGGTTACAGAAGCAAGGGGAAAAAACATAATTTGAAGATTATTAAAATGTTACAGGGCAATCTTCATAGAACAGATTAAAAACAGGGGTCTGACAGTAAACACTTCAGGAGGGTGGGAACTCCCACCGGGAATATTTTTGATTTGTGGAATCGAGCATGGCCTGCTCTTCCAAGATGACCTGTTGGTGGACCATGCTATCTTGGTTGACTAACATTATTTGCCCAACACATGAGAGATTTATTGAATGCCAGTCAAAGTCATCATCAAAGATCATGTCAATCTGTTCAGAATGTTGATGAGACTTGTAATGATAATGTGCAATTGCCATCACTGGTGGCTGTCATTGCAACATCTTTCCTTTTACCGGAGGAATGGCTGCCATAAATGTGAAAAACATAGCTCATCTTGCCTGTTGGGGAGAAAAACAGCTTAGTTTGATTTTGAAAATGCTGAGTGAGTTGCTAACTGATGTTGATAGTATCAGGCATGTCACCTTGCAAAATCACGCACCTATAGATTTTTTGTTATTAGCACATGGACAAGGGTGTGAAGATTTTGAAGGTATGTGCTGTTTTAACTTATCTGGCCACTCCCAAAGTATTCATAAACAACTGGCACAATTGCATGAAATTATGAAACATATCACAGAAGAACATGACCCCTTTTCAGACTGGCTTGCTAGTTTGGGCCTAGGGGATTGGTGGCAGACCCTAGTTAAGGGAGTAATAATGTTACTGATTGTATTTTTGTTTTATGCTGATTCTTCCTTTTTTGTTACAAGGCCTTCAACAAACATTGCACAATTTAGTTGCTTGAATTTCAGAGAAAAGAGAGGGAGATGTAGGAGTCTGGGCTGCATCAGAACAAATTTGACCATAAAGGGAAACAGTTAAGAATGAGGGCAAGGTTATCAGACAGGGAAGGAACAGTTGTGATCAGCAAAAGAACTCAAAGTAAGAGCCAAACAGGATGAGAGATAGGGAAGTTGAGCAAGTTGTGGTCCAATATATGCAAATGTAATTATCCAATAAGAATGCTTATAAGGGCGTGTGAACAGCACGTGTAGCTAGCATGCAACTAATTATAGAGGAGATGCATGCATGAATAGCTTTGTATATGATCATCCTATTGGTGCTGTGTCATTCCTGTTCCCACATGAAGAAATGAAGACCTCAGCAGACCTTCATGGACTCTCTCAGATTTTTCATTTCTTTCATCCACAAGCACCTGCAAAACTTGGGTGCTCCCTTCCCCTTAAGTTTGAACATCACAGAGAGAGAGGGACAGAGAAGCTTGCTGGGCCCCAATGGCTGCACACATGTAACCCACCAGTGTTGTTTTGCTCAGCTTTTCTCCAGCAGGCAGCATTAACCAGGTGAGGCTGCTCAACGGCTCCTAGCACTTTGGCATTGCCCACAAAGGACTTGGAAGTGCATTTTGTCCCATGATACAGGGAATAGATGAATGTGCCACAGCAGTCAAGGGCTGGTCAGTGAGCAATGTCACCGGGGAGTGGCTGCCAAGGGGACTCTGTACCACGGGTGGCATTTGACCCTCACTGTTCAGCCAAATTCCCACCCACCCCAGGTTCCACCCCTTCAGCCCAGTTCTCTCTACTCAGGCTCTGAGGAGACCGCAGCAGATCCTGTCACAGGCCCTGCTCAAGTCTGGGCACACGACATCCCCTTCTTTTCCCTCCCACAGGGGTTCTGCAGTCCCCGCCTTGTTCTGCCAGGGCCTGCAATGGCTGCAGGAGGATTTGCCACATTCCCTGCTGTGCCTGACCAGTCTGTAACACTCCCAGTCCCCCTCCCTGCCCTGTCTGCAGACTGCTTCCAGGTCTGCCTTTCCCAAGTGCCCAGGACCCTCTGGGATGGCTCTGGCCTTTCCAAGGGGTTTGAGAGAGGTCACACAGAGACACTACCCAGCCTTCTCCACATCCCTGACACCAAAGGCCTTTTTCACATCCCTCAGTTCCAGGTCAGTGCCCAGAACACAGCACAGCTGTGTCCAGGTCCTCAGGGTGGTTCAGAAGGAGAAGGCAGCTGGGATTTCTCCCCACAGACCCAGCACTCCAATGTCTCTCTGTGCCATCCATGGCTGTGCTGAGCATTTTCCCTGCAGCCTCCCTGCCTTGGATGTTTCTCTCCATGCAGTCCTCAGCACAGCCCAGCAAAGAATTCAGGTGGTTTCCCAGAGGACATTCCTCCTGAGTGAAGTGGCCTCAAGGCACTGTTTGTGCCACTGGAATTGTGCCAGCCCGGGTGCTGCTGATGGTGTTGGTGCTCACTGGGGTTCATCTCCCCACACACACACCATGCACTGCTGAAGTCTCCTGAGTACAGAGCAAACATGGACTGCTGGCCTGGTCCCTTGGTGTCCCTCCATGCAGGGACAAACAACCTCCTGCAGGTGAGGGCAGAGGCCAGTGCTGGCAGTGGTGGTTGCAGGGCTGCTGGGGCACAATTGCCCTGGGGCACCTTCCCACGTTGTCCCTGGAACACAGACAGAGCCCAGGCCCTGTTCAGCTGCTCCCTCAGGCCCATCCCAGGAGCTCTTGCTGCGCCAGGACACTGCTGTACACTGAGGTTTGCTTTGCCAACCCATTCCTGGAGCACATTCCTGACAGGAGCTCTGGAGGAGAGCAAAGCCTTCCTGCCCTGCCCTCAGGAGATGTCCTTTGCTGCTGGAACTGCTGCTGGAACCCAGCTGTGTCCCGTCAGTGCCCATGGCCTGTCCCTGCCTGTGGGCACAGCACGGACACGCAGCAGGACAGTGACCAAGCTGCCAGAGCACTCTGGCCTGGCACCCACAGAAGGGCTGAGAAGGGGAGTGTGGAGCTGGGAAGAGCAGCTCTGAAAGGACCAAGTGCTGCTGCTCCCTGGCAGTGCTGCTGGTGTGGGACTTTTCCCTTTCTCCCCTTTAACTGCAGGTCTGAGTTGGGATCCCTGAAGTGCTGCTGCTCCCTGGCAGTGCTGCTGGTGTGGGACTTTTCCCTTTCTCCCCTCTAACTGCAGGTCTGAGTTGGGATCCCTGATAAAGAAGGCAGTGCAAGGCAGTTTATTTTGTTCATATAAAGCAATAGTACAAATCCTGGTTTACAGAACTTCTGGATAAAACTTGAGGCAGACAGCGAATTAGATGAGGGATGAATAAAACCATTTAATTGAGCACAACATTATGGCAAGAATACATTGCCACCACCAAAGACTGGGAATGAGCCAGTCATGAGTTCCAATCTGAAAACTATGAAGCAAAAAACAAACACTTTTTTGTTTCTGAAAAGTATCTAGTCATCATTTTCCTTAGGGAATCCCTGAGCTCCTGGTTCCTCAGGCTGTAGATGAGGGGGTTCAGGACTGGAGGCACCACCGAGTACAGAACTGACAGTGACACATCCAGAGAAGGGGAGGAGATGGAGGGGGGCTTAAGGTAGGCAAATATGGCAGTGCTGAGGAACAGGGAGACCACAGCCAGGTGAGGGAGGCAGGTGGAAAAGGCTTTGTGCCGTCCCTGCTCAGAGGGGATCCTCAGCACAGCCCTGAAGATCTGCACATAGGAGAAAACAATGAACACAAAACAGCCAAATAACAGAAAAGCACAAACTATGAGAAGCCCCAGTTTCCTGAGGTTTGAGTGAGAGCAGGAGAGCTTGAGGATGTGTGGCACTTCACAGAAGAACTGGCCCAGGGCATTGCCATGGCACAGGGGCAGGGAAAATGTATTGGCTGTGTGCAGCAGTGAATAGAGAAAGGCACTGGCCCAGGCAGCTGCTGCCATGTGGGCACAAGCTCTGCTGCCCAGGAGGGTCTCGTAGTGCAGGGGTTTGCAGATGGACACGTAGCGGTCGTAGCACATGATGGTCAGGAGGGCAAGCTCTGATCCAAAAAAGAAGAAAATCAGAAAAACCTGTGCAACACATCCTGTGTAGGAGATGTGTCTGGTGTCCCAGAGGGAATTGTGCATGGCTTTGGGCACAGTGGTGCAGATGCAGCCCAGGTCAGTGAGGGCCAGGTTGAGCAGGAAGAAGAACATGGGGCTGTGCAGGTGGTGGCTGCAGGCTACGGCGCTGATGATGAGGCCGTTGCCCAGGAGGGCAGCCAGGGAGATGCCCAGGAAGAGGCAGAAGTGCAGGAGCTGCAGCTGCCGCGTGTCTGCCAATGCCAGCAGGAGGAAGTGGCTGATGGAGCTGCTGTTGGACATTTCTTCACTCTGGCCATGGAGTCCTGTTGAAGGAGGAGAAAGTGACAAGTCAGGAGAGACTTTGCTGAGCAATGTCCATGTCCTTTCTCCCAGCCCTGCTTTAATTTTCCTTTTCTCAGAGCCCTTCCTTCAGCCCCGTGCCTGGAGCTCTGCTGGGATCTGGCCTTGTTGCTGTGATGAGCAGGGGCTCTGCCCATGGACAGTGAGGAGTCAGCTCTGCTCTGCAGCAGTGGGGTCATGGGAACGGGGTCAGGGGCCAGTCCTGGGGTTGGACTGCATCATCCCAAACTGTTCCTGAGGCAGAGGAGCCTGGCAGCATCTCCTGTCCCAGGGGTCAGGAATGGTGACAGCCAAAGGCAGTTTGAGAGGGTTTGGGTGTGCCCAGAGATATCAGAGAGAAATGTGCAATGCAGGACCATTGGCTGTAACTCAGTGGAGGGTCAGGGGAGCTCCTCTGTCACTCCATCTGTCCCCAGCTGCCCTTTCTTAGATCAAGGGCAGGCAATGTGTTTCCCTGGAAATCAGCCTGACACAGCTGAGAGCAGAGGGACCCACAGCAGAGCAAACTGGTTCAGCCTTTCTCAGAGTCTCAGCCCCACTCCTGGCCAAGGACACTCCTGTCCCCAGTGTCCCCTGGAGACAGCTGACAGCTTGGGTGGCATCCCAAGGACACACCAAGGGTCCTGTCCATGGCACTGCTGGAGGAGAGTCGAGTCATTCCCAGCCTCCCAGCCTGCCCTGCCCAGAGCTCCTGGGGCAGAGGGAGCTGGGACATCCCATTGCTGTGCCCAGCCTGCACAGGAGGAGCCCAAGGGCTGGGCCTGCCCTGCAGCTGGAGCTGCCATTCCCAGAGAGCTGTCAGCAATGCCAGG